TGTCTGTCTGTCTGTCTGTCTGTGTAATCTTTACAGTTTTCTACATAGAAGTGTGTGCCATCTGTGAACAGACATAATTGTACTCCTTCCTTTCCAATGTGGATGCATTCTATTTCATCTCTCTTATCTATTCTCTCTGGTGTGGACTTCTGTACTGTGGTGAATAGAGGTGGTGAAAGTGGCATTCTTGTCTACTTCCTGGTCTAGAGGAAAATCTCTCAGTGTCTCACCATTGAGTATGAACTCCCTTTCATATAAGACCTTTATTCTGTTTCAGTAGTTTCCTTCTGTTCCTATGAGTGCCAGTATTTTATTAAATTGGAAACCACTAGTCTAAAGATTTCCTTCCTCGTGATATTCAATCCACAGATTCAGAAGTAAAAGTCCTCTACAGAGTACGAACCCCTTACATTGGAAACTCTTCCATTCCTATGGTTATAGGGACTGGACAAAGCTGTCCTCATTTCTTAAAAAATTATTTCCTTCACAGTGACATTCAATCCACAGACAAGAAAGTAGAGTCCTATTCAGATTGAGAAATCCTTTAGCTGGACCCTCTCCATGTCCAAGGTCATGGAGACTGGGTTCTGCCATCTTTATTGCTTAATAAAGTATTTAATGAGAGATAAACGCTTTCCCACTTTCTGTAAAGCTCCCTTGCCCCAGAGATGAATACAGATGGCAAGTCTGCCTTTCCCAACATACATGAAAGTTTACATGAGGGGCAGGACCTGTTCTTTTTTGAAGTCAAAGAAAGTTCTAGGAAAGGATCAGTAAAAATTCATGACAGAAAAATTCCATCTGATGATGAAGATGAGATGCTGGACACGTGGGCTGAGAAGGGGTTCCTGGTGCTGATACTAGAGAGATGTTCAGGAGGACAGGTAAGAGGTCACCCTGTGGTGATCTGGGGTCAGAAAGGAGGTGTAGCCCTCTCCTTACATATCTCTATTGAAATACGACAATTGTCCTTCTACAGAGGTCAGGAACATTCTCTGGTGACCTTTACAGAGCTCGCTATGGACTGCGAGTGGCTGAGATGTCTGGGAAAGCAGCGTGGTCCTAGGTCCACTCTCAGCCAGTCACCTCCTCTGTCCACAGAGCCTACCCTCCTAGCCAGCAAAACCACAGTCACAGAACAGAAGGACGCTGTGGTCCTGACCTGCCTCAGATGACACTGGGATCTTCATCCAGTGGCTCTTCAGTGACCCGAGTCTGTGGCTCATGGAGAGAATGGAGCTGTCTCCGGACAGCAGCACACTCACCATAGATAGACCCTGTCAGGAGCGGGGTCACTGGAGATTATCAGTGTGATAGTCTCCCACCCTGTCAGTTCCAGCGGAAGTGCCCAAATCAACCTGACTGTGATCAGTGAGTGATCTGTCCCACTTACTTACATGTATATTTTATGGAAAGGAGGTGAGAGATGGATGCGAGTCTTGAGGAGCTGGTAGCCTCCTTCTGAGCCTGTAGATCAGCAGGGGTAAGAACCCCAGAATGAGACTAATCTCGTTATCGTCTTGGTCCTGATGTGCACCAACTATCTGACCTCGGGCAAGCCACTCAACCACCTGAGCCTCGGTTTCCTCGTCTATAAACTGGAATAGAACAGTCAGATCTTAGTTCTGTTGTGAGGGTGTTTTTTAGGAGGCTAATGAGATTAAAGCCGTTAGGGTCATACATAGAGTCAGGGCTCAGTGAATGCTATCAAGTAGTATTTTTAGGAACACCTTTGTTATTAGCTGGGAAGTCAAGCAGAACTTGTTGAATATTTTGTTGATCACTTGTCGGTTCTGTAACCTCCAATGATTTATTAGGCACTTCATGTTCCAGAATCTGTTTGTGCACAGTTGGGGATGACACTCCTGTCCCTCATGGGGATGGAAGGATCAGGTGACATGAACATAAGGTATTTCCCAACCTACCTGGTCATAGTAGACCACTGAACATAGACCCCAGACAACAGTCAAATAACATTCTCATTACTAATCAGCGTTGAGTTGACAGTAAGGGCCTGCCCTCTAAGGCTGTCAATAATGAAGGAAGAGAAGAAACACAGGGGAGAGACACAACGTGAGAAGGAAAGAAGAGTTAAGAGGAAAATGAACAGAAGGTGGGACTGGTATGTGTAGGAGAATGTGCGGAATTAGAACAAGTAGAGGTTTAAACGTGAGAAACAGAAAATGATGCAACCACGGGCGGGGGGGTTTTGGGAGACAGTGTGATGACAACACCCACAAACCGCACACAGAGTTGGTGACAGTTCCTTCTCCCTAGCGAGGCCCTTCCCCCTGCAAGTCTCCTCATAATTTCCCTAAATGAACTTGGGTTTTCACCCCTCCCCTGTTTCCTTTCTCCCCTCAGCAGAAAACACCAGCACAGGCAGCTCTCCGTGGACCATTGCTGGCATCACGATTGGTGTCCTAGTTGGGGTGGTGCTGGCAGCTGCCCTAGGGTGTTTCCTGTTCCTCAGGAGGACTAGAAGGTACCATGGCATTTCCTCCACCCTAATCCTGCCCTCACCCCTGGCTGCCCCTAGTCCAGGAAGCAGGAGCCCCATCCTAGGATCCTGGGCTGGCTCTCCACAGCCTCCCAACTTGCCCATGGATGTTCTCACTCCATCCAGTTCCTCCCTCACCAGCTGTTGACCTGGGCAGTTTCCTCAATAGTTTCTTCATCTATAAATTAGGCACCATTAAGGAACCGTCCCCTCAGGATCGTACTGGTTCACTCAAGGAACCTACAGGTAGTAAGTGCTCAGTAAACTGACACTTCCTGTTGTTGATTGAAGTCCCCCCACCCGGGTGAGGGGGATCTGCTGTCTCAGGATCTGAGGGTGCTCCTGGCCAAGGTCACACAGCAGAGAATGGAGGAGCCTGGACAGGCTGATGGGGTTAATCGCCCCCATGTAGCGGCTTTGGTTACCACAGCCCCTGATATGTGAGAGAAGAAACTGGGCCCAGCCAGGACAGCAGGTGTTGGGGTGTCCTTTATGCCTCTTGTCCAGGCTGATGGAGACAGAAGGCAGCCACTGTCAGTTTTTAGTGCTATTGGCCTGAGGGGCAGGTCT